GAGAAGCGCTAGCGTCGGTCGCAGCCTCCAGCAGCGGCGAGGGGGCCGCGGCTTCGGGGTCGGCCGCCAGCCCGGAGTCCTCGGGAAAGGTGAGGAGGGATGGGAGGGCTGCCGGGACGAGTTTGAAAGTGCTCGGAGAGCGCTGCGCGGGGCCGCGTGTCCCGACATATCGTGAACGGAGGGAGGGAAGGAAGGAGGGAGAGGCGCCCGCCGAGTCGTTGTGTGCTGTGGTCATAAGATCCCCCAGGTTGGGCTTTAAGGTGCGACGTCCTTGTCTTCCTTTTTTTTTCTTTCCTTCTTTCTTCTTTCCCACTCCTCATTCCCGTAGCGCTGCCAGCCTTTCCCTCCGTCCTCTCCCCCACTTCGCGGTGCCTGCCCAAGTTGGCCGCTGTCCGCTCACACGTGAGCGGCGCTCCGCCGTGCGGCGCTGCGCCTCGAGGTCCCGTGCCGTGCGCTGCTTCCCCTGCCGAGTCCGGGGGCGGAGGGATTGAGAAGCGCCGGATCCGTGGAGTCACCGCCTGAGAACATCGCAGCTTTCTGCTGGAGGCGTGCAGTTCGGCGTTGTCAGCACTTTGCTCTTGAAGCCCTCGGAAGCCGGCCTGCGTTACCTACCGGGAGCGAACCCGGCTTGCGGGTGGCACGGTGCTAGCCATGGCGGTGCCGGGTTAGCCGCGTGGACGGCATTGGGCCGGAGCTCCAGCCTGTGCCCTGCAGCCTTTTGCGGTGCTGGCAGCGGCCCCACGCACCCCGCGCAGGTGCGGCCGCGCTGCTGCCATCAGCGCGGGGTGGCAGGGCGAGCCCTAAGGGTTGTGCAACATGACGGTCTCTGCTACTGGTGCGTCTCCGAGTGAAGATAGAACAGCTTGTTTTTTGAAGTACTCAACTTATTTCGGCTGAGTTTTGTTTTTTTTTCACTAGTGCCCGAGCCTGTATAAATTCAAATGAAAGTAGAAACGTTATTAATGGGCGATGAGCAGAATTCCTGTCCCCTGACACAAGGCATGCGTGGTGCTGCTGCTCGTGTAACCAAGGCTCTGCCTGGCGTGCTGACACCTGCACTGCTGCTGCTGGGTCTGGTCGGGGAAGGTTGGTGTTACTGTAACTTTGGATTTGGATACATTTAGTTTGGAGGTGCGCGTGAAATTTGCCTGCATCTGTCCCATGAGCAGTTCGCAGCTTGATTACAGGGTCTCTCACAGAAGCTCCTTCTGCAGTATCTCCTGTAGCTCAGTATTGCTACAGCTCCTTCTCTGTTTTCTGCTTACATTAAGTGACAGGTAGCCGTACTTCAGGACATTTCTGTTTTTGCATTTTTGTGGCTGTTTTTTCTTTTTTCTTTTTTTTTTTTTTGTTAAATTCCAAGTAAAGCTGCAGCTGCAGCAGCCCAGGTTGGTGTCTCCACACCCTGTAGGCCCTGGTGGATACAAAGGATGATTGAGATCTAAAAATGGGTGGTCAAAGATCCTGGAAGCAAAAGGGCTGTTTTGCCAAATAAGGAAACTTGGCACATTCTGCTGTGTATTTTAAGATAGCGCAAGTGTAGTGTGCTACTACTTTATTGGCAATTTGTTGGCAGGATGCCTTCCCAAAAGAAACACTGAATCCGGCTTTGAGGAGCCATACTGTGAGGAGAAGCAGTGAATTACAGAGGGGTTTCCTTGCATAGACATAAAGGTGCATTTTCATTCGGGGCATTTTTTTTGTGCTTTTGGAGCCATCAAATATCTGAAGCATCCAGGTGCATGTGCAAGTTGTGAGATGTGGTTCAAAGTCTGCAGACATGTGCTGAGCTGCAGTCACAGTGCTGCTTGTGCTGGACTCTCCCTTCCCACTGCTCGTTGCTCGCAGGCCACGAAGGGGAAGCTGTCAGTGCTGGGGAGCAGCAGTGATGAACAGCAGGGCCCTGGCTCTATGTGAAGAATGAGGCAGCGTGCTGCTTCCTGGCCATCCCCCTGCTGCTCAGCCCCTTCTGGGGCACAGGAGGGAGCGCCGGTGGCCACGCAGGGTTTTTCCTATTTTGGTACTCTGAGATGCAGGCAACGCTCCCCCAAAATGCTTACTGCCAAAAACCAGCCCCAGGCCTGCAAGGCAGTAGCGGGGCTGTTCTCCTGGCCTGGAAACGCATGGTCTGCAAACGTGCTGCAAGTGATGCACTTGCTTTGGGTAGACATAAGAATCTGGAGTTTAAGGAAATACCAGATATTTCTCTTAACCAATGGTGTAAACTCAGATTGTTAAGTATCTTTTAGAACAGGATGACAAGTTAATAACTGTGTGTGTAATTGTCACGTGCAGCTGTTGCTCTAAACACTTGTTTTCTCTAACATAACAAAGGGATTGATCTGTCTAATTGAGGATTAACTGCCTTGTATCCAGAAACATGGGGTAATATTGAAACAGGTTTGTTCTTTCATCTAAAAGAAAATCCTGCGCCTACTTTAGGCTGTCATTAATTATAGAACTCTAAATGAAAGCTGTCCCAGCTATGACACTTTTCCACTTTCTCTTGAAAAAGACGTATTGGAGAACCTAATAAAAATCCACAAGTTGTTCTTTAGATTGAATTACTTTATTGTATGCTGGTGACTGTAGCATTAGCAGCCGACTGTTGTAGATAAATCTGAAAAGGTGCTAAAGGGATGAAAGCTTCTGGAAATGCTTGTGTGCTGGGCATCACATTGTCATTGCAGAAAGATTTGGGAATTGGTGGGCTTTTAAGCAGCAGGAAGGATGCACAGGTGGCTGCTCACTTGTATTTAACAAATGTCTGATGTGGATGTTATTGCATATTAGTAAATGTTGAGGTCTGTTCTTTAGTGAAATCTCAGAATAACAGCTTGTTCTAACTTTTAGAAGTCAAATCATTTAATAAAATTGATAACCTTTTTTTTTTGAAGGAGAGTAATTTAAAATAATTGACAGTTTTTCAGAGTAATCAAGTTCCTACAGTAAAGCCCAGAAATGTTTGTTTCCTTTGATGCATTTTTCCTTTCACTTGGCCTTCTGCTTTTTCTGCCATCTCCAGCAGAACCACCTGCTGTCAGCTGCTCACACTGTTCAATGGATGGTCCCACTGTGCTGCATAAGCTTTTGTCTGTGAGTGGTGTTACCCTTCTGAATAATCCTGCTGTCAGTAGGGAGGTTGTTTTCTTCACCATTGTTACCCACCTGCATAAGTGTGTTCAGGGCCATGCCTTAAGTTGTTCACATTGGGAAGTTCACCTGTTTTATTTGCCTGCAAGGTGATATATATTCTGAGGCACAGGTACACACTGTTGGTGTGGGTGGATGGCTGAATTAGAAATGACAAATGGGCTTTTGTTTCTGAAGAGCGGGTTATTAAGCAGCACGGACAGAGAAGCATAAAGTCAGAGCTGCCTTCATTATGCTCCTGATTTGCAGGAGTGACCGATTTCCTTCCCCTTGAGCTTTTCCTCGGAGAAAGTGTGTGTTTGGGCAGTGCAGAAGATGACCCTGATCTTCCGTAGGAATGCAGGAGATGAAAGAAAAACCAGTGAGAACACAGCAAGGTTGAAACAAGAATGAAAGGTCAGCAGAAGGGTCCGGGCACTTCTGCCAGCAGAGGAGCTGATAGATAATGGAAGAGCAGCCTTCGTTTCCTGCTGCAGGAATTGCTGCAGCCAGCACCGGGCCTCCTTGTCACAGCCCAGCAGCTGCTGCCTCCAGCCTTGTGGGTAGTGAGGAGATTTACAGCACACCAGGCAGTTCCAGAAAAGACTGTATGCTCTTTTATACAACATGGAAAAAAATCCGAGTGTCTTCGTGGCTTGTTTGGACAGAGTGACAAATTTATGGTCAAATGATACCTCAAATTGTTAATCAACGTGCGCACACGTTCTGGAGAACTGGGAGGGGAAAATTGTGTGTTTGTGTTGCAAAAGGGCTGTTGCTTGTGTGGTGAGCAGAGGCAGGTGGTACGTGAAGCGTGCAGCTCCAAGTCCCAGACAGCACATGAAGTCTGGTGCCATCCCCAGGAGCCTCTGGCTTGCAGGGCTTTCTGGCACAAAGTAGATAGGTGGTATAACTGCAGATGTGGTTTTCATCAGCAAAACCAGACCTCTATGTGTTTGCTCTATTCAGACCCATCTCTTCTTCATCAGATGCTGTATGCTCACTCTTCTTGCTTGCCTGTGCAATAACTCGGTGGTGATTCTGGCAGGTTTGTGGAAGCAGGTGAAGATTTCTCCCACAGTCTCATGGTTCTGGTTCTGGAGGACCTTGCCTGCTCTGCTCTCTTCTGAAGACCTTACAGCTTGCCAATCCAGTGAAAAAGGATCCTAAAATTACATGCTGTCCACTCACTTAGATGATAGCGTTGCTTGAAGTCTGCAGCAGGCACGTGGCTTACTTACTGCGTTGAGATCTCTGAGAAGGACGTTCTGTTCTGGCAGCCAAAATGGATCGTCTCTCAGAACTGCCGAAGCCGGTCTTGGCACATGCTTCACAATTCCGCATATTGTAACTTAGATAAATTACTGTGAGCTCGCGCTGCGCTGTAACATGTGCACAGAACTGACTCACTTGGAAAGAGACATTTGTTGTGGCCAGGCTTCTGGGCGTCCCAGCGCAGTGCTTGTACCTGGCTGGCAGCGGGCACGCCGTGTGCTGTGCGTGTGCTTGGCATGCCTGAGCTGCTGTGTGAGCTGGGAGCTGAAAGCACAGCTCTGTTCACCAGCAAGCTCGGTGCTGGCAACACGGAGGCATGTGTGCTTTCTGCGCGGCTCCTTCCAAGGTGCTTGGGAGGAGTATTTTTAGTCTCTTCTGTCTCCCAGCTGTTCCTAGTAGCTTGTGCAAATAATGTAAACATTTGCACAGCCTGTTGGGCAGTGAGCTTGTAGGCTTTTTCTTCTTATGCACAGTAGATTTTTGCTGCAGCGTGCTTGTTGCAACAGGTTCTTGTTTTGGGGTGTCTGAACGTAGGTAAGAATGTCCATAAATCTGTGGTGAGTGCGTAATGATTACAGCTTTTCTCTTTGCAGGTTTCGCTGTGGTATATTTTGTCATTATGAGATGTCGTCTACCAGTGCTTCATTTGTGCAAATTAGATTTGATGACTTGCAGTTTTTTGAAAACTGCGGCGGAGGAAGTTTTGGGAGCGTCTATCGAGCCCGATGGATTTCTCAGGACAAGGAAGTGGCTGTGAAGAAGCTGCTCAAAATAGAAAAGGAGGTAAGAGTTCACTTCTAGTTTCTTTGCTGTGAAAACAAGGACATAAGTGCCTTTTGTCTTCTGTTCTGTTAATTGAAGCAATTTACCCTGGTTTTTATTTGTTTCATTATGTAAGCGCATGTTGGTACAGCAAATACCTACCGATGGGGCTCAGTCTGCATTTGTCTCTGATTTAAGGTGTTTCTGTTAGGGTTTTTTTTGTTTTTTTTTTTGCCACCCTCCTCTGCCTTCCTGGTGCAGCAACTCCTCTCTCTTCTGACCCAGAGGAGGAGGAAAACTGCACCTATGGACCCAATAATTCTAATTTGATGACACTGACCATGTAATTAGGTGGAAGTATCTAGTGTTTCCTGTCTCTGCATGCACTGGTTTTCTCCTCCGTATGTGTGGTCACAAGCACTGTGGCTGGTGTCTGTACGTTCACTACAGGTGCTGCACGTGCTGCCGGGCGGTACTTCTGCCCTGCTGCTGCAGGAGCTCCCGGGCAACTCTGTGGGCTCTAAGCTGCCCACAGCTGCGCTTGTCTCGCAGTGTGGTTTAAGGCTAACCGGCACACCAGTCACCTTGTCCAGTGGCTTCCTGTGGGCCTGGGAAGACAGACGGGTCCTTTAGCAATTCTATGGGAAAAGGCAGAATGACTGCTTACTGCAGCTTAGTCGTCTGTAAGAGGTTTACCTGGAAATCCTCTTGACCCTTAGCTCTGCACAGCCCCAGCAGAGATGCGGTGCCTGCCGTCCTCGCAGAACCTTGGACTGTGTGCAGGTCACTACCGGGGCAGCTCCATACAGCAATGGACAGCACCAGACTCTGTATAATCTTACATTTATACAGGATATCATTTTATAACACAATATCATTAGAGCATTTTAGAAAGATAATTACAAGTGGAAGGACAGCAAAGCGGTTGTGAGGATGACATGCTCAGGAAATAACCAGACACTTGAATTCACCTACTGTTGCAGTTACTGAGTTAGCTTAGTGATGTGATAAGCGTGTTTGATCATGATTATGCAAGTTCCTGTCTAAAATTGTGTGGAAGGATCTCATGTTTCTTCCTGTTGACGATGGTGAAAGGTGTATGCATTCTGTCCAATGTCTATTTGCACTGCTCTCTATGTACTTTTTGACGTTAACAAATATTAAAAATCAAAAGATAAGTAAAATCAGTGCTAGGCAGCGTCTGTAAAGCACTACTTCAAAGTCAGACCGCTGGCAGATCTCAGTAGCAATCAGTGAAGCATCTTTATTGAATAGATTCATCTGTTTTAGATGTGTTGTTATGTACTACAAGCGCTTTTGAAAGACTACTTTAGAACAGTATTACTGCACTTATGATGTCATAAACTATAACAGAACGGGAGGTAATGAAGAAAGTAGGACAGCCACTTATCTATCACTTATGTATCACCTGATAAGTTTGAGACTATTCAAATAACGTATTTTCTGTAAACATCCAAATGGAAAGTTCAGCTTGTAATGAGGGATACAGGTTGGGAAAAGGAAACTGTATGCTGGAAAGAATTTAGTATCATTTGAGGATTTGTTTAGATATTAATGAAGGCCTGCACCCTTTTCATGGTGGTGTTACAAGTAAAGTTAATGCCCTTGCATATATGGATGAGGATCAAGTCTTGTTTTTCAGAACTGGTTTTTGTCTGGGTAAATGGCATCGGGAGAGGATGTTAAGCAGTAGGTGCAGTCCTGGCTGTGCTGTTCCTGCAAGAATGCTGACAAACTGGAGAGGCAGCCCTGGGAAATTGCAACACAGAGAGAGTGGAAAGTATAGGGATGCAAGGGTGTGAGGGGGACATGACAGTTAGGAGTGTTGACAGAAGGAGGCGAGTGCCTTCAAGTACAAGATCTGTGTGTTTTCCTTCAGACTGGTCCATTTGCAACTTAAACAGAAGGCTGAGTTGTAGTTGGAAGCAGCTGGTGTGGACATCTTTTCTTGGGAGCTCTTAGGAGAGGCAGGATACGGGCAACTGCTGATACCTTAAATATGCCTAGAAAGCTTTGTGAGAATCAGTCTGTCAAAAACCTTAGAGAGTTAATTTAAAAAAAAACAAGAGCTTTCTTACAACAGTTGCATTTTCATACAAAGAAAATGCTGGGCTCATTTAATCTAGTAGAAGGTAAAGTAAAGTAAAAAGGTATTATAAGAACTAAAGGTTGGGATCTGAAGCCAGACAAATTAGAATGGGAAATAAAGCACAAATTATAAGGAGTGAGGATGAGTAACACTTGGAACAGACTACAGAGAGAAGGAACAGAGTTGAGAATCCTTCCCATCTCTTCATGCCTTTACATTGAAATGTCTGTTTGGACAACTACTTGTGTCAGGTTGTTGAGCTCAGCAGAACAGAGCCTGGTGAGGTGTCCTGTCCTGTGAAATGCTGGAGGCCAGCCTCAGTGGTCTAAAAGTCTTTTCTGACCTTAATGGCTGTCCGTCTGTTTACATACAGTGTTTGTCTGTAGTATGTTTATCTGTAGTTATGACAATATTGAATGTCAGTGACTTCATTGTGCTGAAAGTCATGGTGAGGCAATGACTCTTGTGATAGCGGTAGGAAAATAACTTGCTCTAACTGTGCGTAGATGTTTGGAAAGCTTGCGTTTAATCCAGAAAACTAATTGTTGCCCTTTCTGACTTCTTTGAAAGGAAATGTCCTTTTTAACTCCGTGACTGATTGTTTTTTATTTCTCTTAACTGCTGCCAATAATCCATAACAACTGAATAAAGAGAAAACAGAGCAGAGTCGGGAAAAGCTTGCTCAGAGGAATTTCATGCTTGCCGAGTCTGAGGGGCACAAGCCAAGTGAATAGAGCTGTGGTGTCATTCTGCAAATATGTTGTATCTGTGCTTCATTTTATTAAACAATCCCAGCTAAACCAGGCTTTGTGTTAGCCAAATGGCTAGTAAGTTCTGACATGTAAAACAAAGCATTTTTTGTTCCAGTATGTAGCAGCATCTCAGACTAAAACACATTCTCAGCAAAGCTGATAAATACTTAAAAGAGTGTAGCTCAATCAGTTCTCTTCAAAAGTCTTTCAAATGTGGAAAGTCCTCTGCAAAGCACTGCCTCTTTATGGATGAGTAGTAAAGTCTGTGTGCCCAAGAAGAGGTGCATGTTCCTGTGGATGAGTACAGCTAAATAGATGCATGGACAGAGCAACCCTCTGCAAGGCCCTGATTAGAGCATCGGGCCCAAGACTTGGGGCAGAACTTCTGCTGATTAAGCAAACCTTAAGTGTGTCCTGAGTGATTAAGTAACGACAAAAACAAATTTAAATTGCAGTTTTGCTGTCCTGTATGAGCACTCTGGTAACATTTGGTTTTAAAGAGATTGTTTTATGGGAAATCAGATTACCAGCATGATGTTTCTGATGCATACAGAGCAAGAAGAAATGCCTCTGCTGATCAGGACCGTGCTTCTTCGCTGTGAGCTTTGTGCTACTGGAGTTTTACCTGAAACTTGCTCTGAATTGTAATGTGTTCACTCTCTAGGAATGCTCTGTGGCTTGGGAACCCTGTGCTATCATTGAGCAGTAGTGTTACATCTGGCTTGCTTACTTCAGCTGTTGAAACTGTAGCACTTGTGTAGGTTTGCTGGGTTCCGTGCAGTATGGCTGCCCTTGGAGCCCTTCCCAGGGCTGGCAGTGGCCTCAACAAGTTGCGGGGTGAGATGGGGACACCAGTAAAATGCAATTGAGATCTTACTGGAAAGTGCTGCTGCTGAACTAACAGCCACTCGTGCAGAAAACATGTTAACCGGGTCTGATGAACAGCGCCTGCCTTGTTCAGTCATGTCTGTGCGGTGCAAATGGATTTTATGAGGCTCGAGAATAAAAGCATGTTTTTGCTGGTTTTTGTGCCGTATTGCTGGAAGTTTGGCTGTTAGATTTTCTCGCATGTAACACACTTGTACAATAAGCTTTAGGGGATCTTTTCAACTACTCTATAAAACTTTTCATATGGAAAATAATGCGGCTGGTTTCTTCTTTTTATTTTATGATCCACTTTTGGAAGGGACTGTCCAGAAGATGTTGGTTGTGCCTGTAACTTTCAAACTGCATGAATTAAGTTTAATCATCAGCATGTCTCTGGCCTTACCTCACTCATGTTTGTACTCATAACAGAGTGCGTGGTAATTTTAATGTAGGTCATAAGAGTAGGACTGGGAATGGCTTTCAGGAGTAACATGAGAAAAACAACAGAGTAAAATAGAGCAAAACAAATAAAACCAAACTGAAATTGATACAAAGCCCAGACAAAACTTAAAATACTAGATGTTTTTGCTTGCAGTTTATAGCTATCGAGGGTGCTTGGGTGCCAGTCTTGAATGATGACTTCTTTCTGGACTCTAGATGTAAGGAAGGGCAATATTGATGCTTTCTTAATATTTTATTAGATCTTTCCAAGAGCTTCCATGAATATTAGCCCTTTCAGTTCTGAATTGGTCAGTTTGTGAAGTGATTCAAGAGAACATCTTGAGAGGGCAACAAACTCAGGGCTCCCAACCTGTGCTCCCTGCATGCTCGTAGCATTGCAAACAAGCTATGAAAGGTGACCCAAAGTATTTCCTATAAGCATAGGAGTCAGACTTCTCAGAGATCTGCACCTATACTGGAAAATTACAGAGTTCACTATTTATTTTTTTTTTTTAAAGGTCGAATATCCCCAGTCTAAGGATCTCATGGGTATATATCCAGCCCAATAGTTATCTAAAGGAATGCTTCTGTAGTTTGTAAAACGTTTTATTTCTTTGCAGTTGTATTTATTATATTGAAGGTAGGCTTTTTTTTTTTTTTTTTTTTTCCAATACAGTGATTATTTTGTTGGTGTTTTTTGTTTCTTTTTCATATTTTGTTAAAGGAAATGGCTTAGAGTGCTTCTCTTAGTGCTATGGTATTCCCAGAAAGATAACAAAAGGATACCTGGTGCCCTTGCCTGCTCTGTGGCAGCTGTGAGGATGGGCTCGGGTGCTCCTTATGTCTTATAC